CACCAGGACAAGGTAGTCTCTTCCACTTTGCTTCAGATGTTAAAGTACCCTCACGGGAAAGGATGCCTGTGGGTGAAGGTTGGGTTATTTGGATTGGAACAATTCGTTGACTATGAGTTTTTTTTTTTTTTAAGCCCACTAGATAGTGGCAAAATCATATTTTCTAAGCCCACCCGAGGGTGGCAAATCCACGTCTTAGCCTACTTGCGGGTAGCACCATCAAACCACTTTCAAAGATAAACATGAAATGTTTTGTTCCAATTCAGGCGATCCAGTCTATACTTGTATGCTGTGCGCATCACATAGTAAATCTAGGCTAATAACCGGAATAAGAACACATAATGTTTTCAAAACTCGATATCATGGTTAGTAGAGGCCGATCTTTGATCGGGCGAGTGGGGGTGATCACGAAGTGACCTTCCCCAATCGTACCCAAGTTCCCGAGCCGAGGCAACTTTGGTGATGACGGACACGTGGCCTTAGGCAAACGAGTTAGGGTTTCCTAAATTTCCCCAAAATAAAACATTTAGGTGGCGACTCTGTATCTGGCAAAGCAGTTCATGTTTGGCACTTCTTTCAAAATCTGTTTTCTCAAAACGATTTGCCGGATTTGGACTCTTTGGTTCAGACTTAGAACCCGTGACAATTGAGAGTCTGAACTGTAGTGAACCCCAAATGAACAGAACGGGACGTTCCTCTCGGGGGCGTTCGGGGACGTCTACACAAAGTTAGGATTATTACATGCATGTGAGAATTCTTTAGAAAACAACCTCAAAATGCCATGAAATATGCATACATACATGTATTGAGCTTTAATTCTTCAATCTTAACTTAATCTTTCAATCTTAACTTAATCTTTCCTACCTTCTTGAATTCACAAATACGTTAACTAGAATTCAAAAATTAGGATTCAAAAGCTTACCTAGGTTCTTCAATTAACTTGAATTGGCAAGAATCTTGAATTTCTTTCTTCAAACTTCAAATCTCTAGCTTAAATTCCTAATTGTCTTGCCCTTCTCTCTCTTTTTCTAACTCAAGTTCTCTCTCTCACTTTATATTTGAGCTCATGAAGATGATTGGGAAAAAAGATGGGGGATTTGGTGATAGACCCCTCACTGTTTAATTTGTCTTTCAAAATGACAAGAATTATATAGGTACTTTCAAAACCCCCTAATATTTTTAAATTTGTTTCTTTTACTATATTATCCTCATATCTATTAACTCTCTTATTAAGTCATCTTCACAGTCTATTTTAGAGTAAAATTTTACTTTGAATCATAGTAAGCTTTACTTTGATTCAAAGTAAAATTTTATATTGTTAAGCAAATCAACATGTTTTTAACCAGAATAAAATTTTTCTCTGATTCAGAGTAAAACTTTACTCTAAAAGTACAATTTTACTTTGAATCAAAATAAAATTACTATGATTCAAAGTAAAATTTTATATCGTTAAGCAAATCAACATGGTTTTAACCAGAGTAAAATTTTACTTTGAATCATAGTAAACTTTACTTTGATTTAGAGTAAAACTTTACTCTGAAAGTATAATTTTACTATGATCTAAGAAGAGTATCCACTTTGAGTCACACTAAGTGTCATGTATTAATAACCTTGTGTGTTTGGTTGCTGAGAAAATCACAGAAACATAACAAGAAAACCAAATATAGTTTGGTTGTTGAGAAAATCAACATGTTTTTTAACCAAAGTAAAAATTCAGAGTAAAGTTTTACTTTGAATCATAGTAAACTTTACTCTGATTGAAAGTAAAATTTTATTTTGAATCGGAGTAAAGTTTACTATGATTCAAAGAAAATTTTATATTTTTAAGCAAATCAACATTTTTTAACCAGAGTAAAATTTTATTCTGATTCAGAGTAAACTTTACTCTGATTAGTAAAATTTATGTGTGAAATTCTTATTAGAGAGATTCTTATGAGAGAGAGAGAGAAAGAGAGAGAAATTGAATAGATCATCCATTTTAATCGATCGATCATCCATTTAACAAGTTGAGTATGAACATATCAATTCAAAAATGAGTAAAAACACAAATCTATACTACAATGATATAAAACCACAAAACACACAGATCAAAAACTAAACAAAAACATCTAAATATCAACATAATCATAATCTAATTGTGGTGGCCATTTCAGATAACACATCCAAATATCTCTCTATCTTTTGATTTCAAAGAATACATGTGTTCAACAACACTCATACACACAAATATATATATACACACACATATATATTCAAAACTTAGATCTGTGTTTAAAAAAAATATCGCGTAATATACATACATATACTCACTTACCGATATATATACATACACACATGTATGTATGAGTCATATATACATGCATACATGCACACACATATATATAAATACATACATACACATATACATAGGAAGAGCAAATCAACTGAGACGTAGCGGAGCTTGGCGTGTTCGCCGGAGGGAGCGGCGGAAGAGGATCGGATGCTGGCGGCGTTGGCGAGGTCAACGCAGGAGTTCCAGATGTGGTAGTTGAGCTTCTAGATCTGAAGCTTGAGGGAGTTAGAGAAGGGAGAGAGGGAGGAGAGAGACAGAGAAGGTGGGGAGAGAGTGGGTGGAGAAGGTGGAAAAATTTAATTGAGGGTATAATAGTCTAATAAAATATTTAAATAATAAATTTTGTCCTTTATGCAAGACTTTATAATTATGAGAAGGTTTAGAAAGTATAATTTTTTTCTTAGTCATTTTAATAATAAAAGGAAGGTAAAGGGGGTTTATAGCCAAATTTCCTAAAAAAGATTTGCTAAGCTTATATCACATATTTTATAGGTTGGATTAACTTAAGCTAATTAAATATGATTAGAGTTAATTTAATTAAACTTAATAATTAATTTATTATAATTATTTTGATTTCGAATCGAATTCTAATTAAACTTACCATAAAATTTCAAAAATTCTAAATAACGTATTCACCTAGTCAATTTCGTGTTTGGATACTGATAAGGCTTTCAATTGTCATATCGAAACAGAATTTCAAACAGAATTTCCTACAGCTAACAGATAGAAATGCAAAACACATACAAAATGCACAAGTCACATATAATCTCATTCTTAAAACTTAATTAGCATTCTTAATAATGGATTATGGGTTAATTACGGACCGGGGTTGTTACAATTTGGATTTGCGTGCCCCTATTGTAGAAAATGAAGAAAGAGGAGTGTTTTGGTGGCGATGAGAAAAGAAACGGTAGTGAGAGAGGAATGATAAGAGACGAGCGATGCAGGCGGTGGTAAAGTGGTCGTAAGAGAAAAAAAAGAGGCGAACAGAGAGAGATGGAAGAAGGAAGGCAAGCGACAGAAGCGGTGGCAGAGCGGCCATGAAAGAGGGAAGGGAGGCGAGCAACGAGAGAGGGAGGAGGACAGACAAGTGTTAGAGGTAGTGATGGAGTGACAATGAGAGAGGGAGGAGAGGCGAGCGGCGAAGGCAACGACTCTACTACAGTAAGGTACAGAAAGAGAGTAGAGGAAAGAGGGAGAAGGCTAAAAAATAGGATGTGAATGACCGCATAACATGTATATATATATATGAATAGTTTGATTTTTTTACACTAATTTGTCATTATGAACAAAATGTTTTAGTGTTTGAACTTACGAACAAAAAAAAAAAAAAAAATTCAAATTTAAAATTTTGACCGGAGCGCCCTAAACAAAATTCAAAAATTTTAAGTTATTTTTGGTAGAGCTTTCTAAATATGATTTGAGAGAATGAGTTGTATTTTGAGTTTGTGAGTTTTGAAATTATGATTTGAATGTGAAAAATTTGTTTGGTAAAAGAGTTTTGAATTGAGTGGAAAATTTTTGATGCGTCATGTGATATTTGATACAAAAACTGACAACTTATAACTAAACATACAATTCAAAATTCTATTAAAGCACTTAATTTTTTTTAAAAAAATTGAAAAATATTTTTTCGAATATATAAAAATTAACATATGTCAATTGCAAAAAAAAAAAAAATTGCACTGTTTCGGTTAACCGGTCGGACGTCTGGCTAGGCTAAATTTGAAATTTTTTTTTTTAAAAAACGCGCTCTACACAGAATTTTCTACAAAATTATGAAAATGTGATTTAAGAATTCATTTCAAACATCATATTAAAATATGAATGTAAAATCATTGTTTAAAAATACAATCAAACAGAGTCTTATTTTCTTTATAATTTTTACACCTTTTTTTTTTCTATGAAAAATTAAAAAATCAGTCAGAATATGATGATTTTTTTAAACTCATAATTTCCAAAACAAATCCAAAATATCTACTTGCCAAGTTGCCAAAAATTCTAGAGTGCGCCAGCCGAAACCTCGAAACTTCACCCGGTTTTCCCAAACCAGCTCTGGGTTCGAATCGGGGCCCACCTTACCCGCAATATATAGGAACCTAGGGTTTATTGACTTTTGGATCATCATCACTACACTCTTCCCCTGATATCCATATCTACATCTGAAGACAACTCACACGCAGCTCATCAATGGCCATGCGATCCGTCGTTTCGCGAACAACCCTGCGTCGTTTAATGGATTCCTCTCGAAGGTCCACCTCAGGCCTTCGCTACTTCAGCGTCATTCTCTCACATCCAGGTATTTCTCTCTCTCTCTCTCTCTCTCTCTCTCTCTCTCTCTCTCTATGTATGTGTTTGTGTTTGTGTGTGTGTGTGTGTTGATTGTTTAGATTTGTTTGAAAATATTTGTTGGGTGTGTGTGAAGAAAATGGAGAGGGAGAAGCTGGAGAAGCAGAGGCTGAAGGCCGAGAAAGAGAAAGCAGAGAAAGAGAAGGCCGAGAAGGTAGGGATCTTCCGATTTCTTATTCAGTGATTAAGTACAATTTCTACTCTAATCTTCAACTAAACCCTATTTTCTTTTGGGTTTTGTCAATTTCCTCATGTTACAGATTGCAATTAGTAGAGTATGTGCTCATTTGTTAGATTAAATTAAAGGTAATTTAAATGTTGAATGGGTCAAAATATAATAAGTTGAGTAGATTTTTAAAGAATCTTGTGTTCTATACTTGGTGATCAAACATTCTTTGTGATCCCAGTTCAACTCCAAACATCCACAATTTTGGAGTTTGGGAGAAGAACTAAGCTTTATAGGGCCGCTTGTTTGGTATACATTTTGACATATTTAAGTGTAATTCATCTTGGAAGATATTTGGAACAGGGAAAAGAAAGAAATCAGCTCCTTGTCTTAAACCACTATGGAGTAATATCTTGTGCGTATATGTCTAGGAGTTGATCAACTTTATCTTTCAGCATGATGCGGAATCAATGTACCCAAATGAATGCAATCACTCATTCTTCATGTTATTAAACCTCAAGAATTTCCATGTTACAGAGACTCTTACGTAGTGTTTGGTTGGGAATTTGGGAATATATTTAGAAACGGAAAAGGAAAAGGGAGGTGAAAGATAAATAAAATATATCTATATTTCACCTAGTTTCACACACATTTTCTCTTCCCTTTCCCTTTCCGAATCACTCAACTAAACACATCGTAACTATAGCATACCCCATAAAGCACATATACTTCAAAAAAAGAGATGTGTGTATATTGGATCCTTATCGAATACCGATACTCATCGGCTTCTCACAAATATGTATTGAATACTTTTTAGTTAATTTTTTTATTAATTTTGGAATATTGGATATTTAATTTTAAAATATCAGATGCGCGAAGTCACGTATTACTTCTCATATTTAGTTTTTGATAAGAGGAATATAGTGAGAGTTAAAATAATAGAATTTGTCAAATTAATGTATCTTTATTGTCTCTCTCACTCTTTCACGTTTCTTCTCTTGCTCTTTTTCTTTTTTTCGGTGTTGGCATGTATGGATGATGCTTAATTTGCTTTTGCTTTTGCTTTTACTTTTAGTTTTGGATGTCTTTTGAATGTTTGAGAACTCTTAGCTTAATAAGAATCCCTTTCTTTATTTATTAATTTACTTTAGGTTTTATTTTCATGTATATTACATTATTAAAATTAAAAATAAATTTTTTTTTACGAACGTATGCCCGCCGTATCCGTATTCTACTTTTTCAAATTTTGGCATATCATTGTATCTGGTATCCGTGTTTCCTCGAGCATACCCAATCACAAAGAGGTATATGTTTTTCAGTTTGTTTGGACACCAATAACCTTATTATGATCTACTGTTCCTAATCTCAGAGGAATCATGTCTCATGCCTTTATCGAACAAAAATATTAATGGGAGTAATGTGATAGTGGCTTTTTGGCTAAAATTGAAAATTGCCAAACGAGGCTAGCAGATTTTTTGCATTTTGTAGTAGCTCATTCCTATTTTATAGATTTGGTTGAGATTTGTATGGTCCTTGCGCAAATCACTGGGATTCATTTTATATTAGGTTGTGAATTGTGTTGATTGATGATCTTGTTAATGTGTTATATGGTATCTTCATCACCAAGTGCCTGTATTTTTCCTGTCTTGTTTAGAACACAATTCCGTTTCTGTAACTTCATTCCACACTTTGCCCCCACCGGGGTGGGTAGGGGAGATGTTTAGCTATGGTCGTCGGAAAACATATACATGGGATGTCATGAATATGATCTCATAATGTTGCTTCTGAAGTGTTTGATGACATTTTCTATTCACTTCATTGAGTTAAAGAACATCAAACAAGTTTTCTATTATCGCATTTTGTTAGATGTGTTCACTCCTAGGTCTTCCCACTAATGAAAGTATCTCAGTTATTTAGAGTGTACTCTTGATCTTCACACTATATTTTTTGATTATTGGATTGCACTGTACCTTTGGTTTTTTGTATATTTATGAGTCTCACACATTTGAAATCTTTTCTTTATTATCAGAAAGCTGAAGGAGAGCCTCATAAGAGCTGAAGTGGTGGTTGTCTCCAGTGAATGATGGAGCTCTTGCTTTGGAAGTACTTAGTTCGAATAAATGTATAGGACTTCACGTGACTCTCTATGAGACTTTGTTTTTCGTTTGTATAGAGTGTGACCATCGTTGATCTCGAATGGTAATGGACTTGGCATTGCTTACTTGCTTCTGTGTGCGCATTACGTTTTCTTGCTCACTAGCTGATTGTTGATTTGTGAGGGCTAGGAGAATTGCACAAAGGTCTAAAAGTTTCTCCTCTTTCTTTTATATCTTATATTTGGTGGGGGCTAATTAAAAAATTGAAAAACTGCAAACCTGTCCGCTCCGATTTGGTTTGGTATGATTTTTTCAATGCATAGTTAGGTGTTGAAAGAGGTGAACTTGTGTTTAACGATTCAGTTTGTGGTTTTATAGTTGCAAATTTAGTTTGGAATCGAACCGGATTGTTTGAATAAATATAATAAGGTCAAGTTTGGCTAACTTAAAAAAATGTACTTATTTCATCTTTTTATTTTTTTGGGTTACATCAATCAACATCTCCTCCATACTTTTTCTACACATAATACAAAAAAGTCAAAATGTGCACTTATTTAGTCTTTTCAAATTTGGCTTAAATATGTATATATTATAGGGCAAATTATACTTACCTTCCTGAGATTTTTGACAAACACAAGACCTTATCATGTGGTTTTAATAATTATAGAAACTTCTTTTTCTTTTGTTGATAATATCAAAATTCTCTCATATTCGTTAATTCAGGACAAACGATGTTACTTGCTATTCAAAATGTTCATATCACCCATTTGAATTGAGTGGGAAGCGATGAAAATTATTAAATCAACCAATAAGGTATTTAAATGAATATTTTCACTCATCTCTTTTGAAGTTTCTTATATATATTATTAAGAATAATGTTATATGTATTAATTAATGTACTAACTAGTATATTAATAGATGATGTGGCATAAATTTATAGATTTTGGGTATTTATAATTTGTGTAATAGGTGGGGTCAGTAATAATGGCATAATAATAATTGGTATATTAATGTGTACATTAATTGGTGCTTATAGCACTACCGTATTATTAAAGATCCATGCATATTTTAACATAACACTTTAATAATTTAATATAAGACTATAATAATTAATACAATATTTATAAGACTTATTTCACACTATATAAACAACAAAAATTTGATCAATTTTAATTAATGCATTTATTATTTAAATTTCTGTTTTCTTTTCTTCTTCCTTTTTTTTTTTTTTTAAAGTTGAAACAAATTAATTAAGTTTGTTTTCCAGCTATTTGTTCTACTTATTTATTTATATGTAAGAAAATTATTTATCTTAAATTGTGAAAATATTATTAACAAAATTGAATAATTTTTTCCTAATTTTTTTGCCTTAATTTTGTTTCATTACATTGTTTTGTTTATAATTTTAATGATTATATAAGTAAGTAAAATTTTTTGTGGCTACAAATAAATAAAAAAGTTATAACTTTTCGTTTATTCATGATTTTTTTTTTTTAATGTAAGAGGGACCCCCATTTTCAAAGTTCGCCTTAGGCCCCCTAAACCTCAGGGCCGGCCTTGATATGTATTAATTAATTTACTAACTAGTATATTAATAGATGATGTGGCATAAATTTATAGATTTTGGATATTTATAATTTGTGTAATAGGTGGGGTCAGTAATAATGGCATAATAATAATTGGTATACTAATGTGTACATTAATTGGTGCTTATAGCACTACCGTATTATTAAAGATCCATGCATATTTTAACATAACACTTTAATAATTTAATGTAAGACTATAATAATTAATACAATATTTATAAGACTTATTTTACACTATATAAACAACAAAAATTTGATCAATTTTAATTAATGCATTTATTATTTAAATTTCTATTTTCTTTTCTTCTTCCTCTTTTTTTTTTTTTTAAAGTTGAAACCAATTAATTAAGTTTGTTTTCCAGCAATTTGTTCTACTTATTTATTTATATGTAAAAAAATTATTTATCTTAAATTGTGAAAATATTATTAACAAATTTTAATTGTCATTAAATTTCTACTCGATGTATATTTAAAAAAAAAAAAGCAAAGCGTAAGTTATTCTTACATGACTAAAAAAAATTAAAAAATAAATATAGAAGTAAAAAAATCTAATTGGCTCACAACAAATTAAAATTAGTTAAAAGGAATGAAATATCAAGAATTCATTTGAGAATAATAAACAATTCAAACAATTTGAGAATATTTATTTAAAATTAATTTTTACTTGAATGGAGAAATTATTTGAGAATACTATAATACTCAATTAATTTGTTGTATGATACTTAAAATATATTTCTCCATCTTTATTTTTCTCATTTAAACTATTTTTATTAAATTAATTTCTCACTGTTGTTAATAGTTGAATTTTTATTTTATTTTTTATTTTATAAAAATTCTTAAAAATTATTTAAATAATAAATACATTAATTAAAATGATAATTTTTACATTGTTTATATAGTGTGGAATACATCTTATATTAAATTAGGATTTATTACACATTATTCTCCTAAACAATCGTTAGATTGTCTATTTAGCCCCTGAACTGTTGATTGAGTCTACTAAATTCCTAAAGCACATAAATCAAAGTTTAATTTTAAGATTTAATTTAATAGAAATATTAACCCGCGTTTTTGTAAATATGCATAGATTAGAAGTTTAATAACTCAAAAATAAAAATTAAAACTTGAGAATAATATATGATTGAGAAAAGATAAGATAATAATAATTTTTATACAGTAATGCAAATTGCTGAGAAAAAAATTAATCTGTTTATTTTAACTTAAAAAAATTCAAATAATAAATGCATTACTTAAAATGATAAATTTTAGGTTATATGTGGTTTGAAATAAGTCTTATATTAAATTATTAGGATGCTATCTAATATTAATTTTAGAGAGATTATTTATTTTTAATTATTTTATCAAAAAAATTAAGTTTTTTTCCATTAAATAATTTAATAATGTCTTAATAATTTAAGGATTTTATTTAGTATTGCATGAAATTTAAGAATTTTATTAAATAATGGTAAAATATGTATGAGTCTTTGATAATATATATGCAAAATCTCAGGAGATGTAAGTGAAAATTTTCATTTGAATAGATAAAGTAACTAAAGGACAATTTCGTCAGTTTTTGTATGACATCAGCAAATTCTGTTGAATAGTTTAATAGTGGGAGAATTTTGTTAACAGTTTCAAAAGTAAGAGATATTAGTGTAATTATTGAAACCACAAAAGAAGTCCTGTATTTGTTAGAAATCTCAGGAGAGATAAGTGTAATTTACCTTATATTATATAATTTGTTACTTATTGTAAACTTAAATATCTTATCAATATCAAATATATATACATAAGTCGTAATATTTTACATTTACAAATGTGTTTTTATATAGTGGTATAATTAGTTTTTATTAATCATTTAAATAATTCTTAAATTGTAAATAATATTTTGTGGTTCCGTCATGAATGATGACAAAGTTAACCATGGTTTCAAATTAGATTGGGTATTACTTTTTTTACTTTTTTTTTTTTTTTTGTAAACTTTAAAAATAAAAATCAAAGAGATTATATTTTTTATTTATTAAATTAGGTTAATTAATAAAATAATTTTTTTGGGTATAATTGTTTATATTTCAAAATTTTAAAAAAGAATAAAAAAATGGCTTGTTAGATTTATTTAATTTTCTCCTTATAAAATATTATTTCACAATGCTTATGTAAGATATTATCTTTGATTAGTCTTGTATCAAAATTAATCAAATTTTTTTATGCACACACTTTATCCACCCTTGTACATAATTTTTTATTCCGCCTTGCCTTGGTCGTATGTCATTTCATTTTTAAATTATTCAAACAGTAAAAATTCAATTGATTTATCATTTCATGTTATCTTATTATGTCATGTTAGAAATTCTTACCCTTAGTTAAAAGTAAAAACTTATTATTTTTTATATATATATTTTTGTAAGTTAAGCTTAATGAAACAAGTCTCTATTGGATGAAATTGTTCATATATATATATATATATATTACTAGATTGACTTTAAAATAATTGATAAAAAATTATTATTTTTAATTAAGAAAACTATATCCATTTAAAATTTTATTACATACTATCAATCCACTTTAGACAACGGATTCAAAAATTTTCTTAGATTGATTATTTATTTTAAATTTGTATTAAGTTTGATATTAATTTGACACATTTAATATTCGTGTCTATCATATCTATGTTTATATAAAAAATAATTAATTTTAACTCACTAATTTCATACACAAGCCAAATCGTATTATCATACAAAAAGATTTCACCACTGATCTGTAATACTGCAATGTGGGAGAAAGGGCAACATCCATCAATTTTTTTTTTTATTATTATTATTTTTAAACAATTAAAGTTGCATATTTATAAAGATAGATGAACAAATAGTCCACATACAATTGGAAGAGTACCCCTTTGGATGAAGGCCCATTCAATTGGAAGATTCTAGTCTATTGATGACTTTGTATTTAAGATTAAACAAGTTAGAGGTTGCATGGTTCCACAGGTGGATGAGGTGGGCTGCTGGTACTGATGTGGCTGAAGTGGGCTGCTATTAATGCTCTGTGCCTGTGCTGATTTGTGTTGCCCTGTGCTTGTTGAGCTTGGTGTTTCATTGGGATTGAGATTGTTGTTTTTATTTCCTTTGGAGTTGATTTCTCATCAACTTTGAGGTTTGTACTAGTAAATGGTTGTGTATTTTTTCTGTTATCAATTTAGTTAGGATCTTGAAATTATACTTCGATGCTTTTTTACACTTTCTTTTTCTTTATTGATGTATGAAAATTCTATAATATATTCTACTCAAAAATGTATAGTACATAGAACATGAATGGTCAAAATTGAGCCACATCATCAAAAGTACCCTGGTAAATAAGTTATGGGCTAAAATCATATTTGTTCATAATTAGAATCAAATTGATCATAACTTAGTTATGAACTATAACCACATTTCATAACTAACATCATTTGGCTTATAACCAATATTACATACTTCATAATCACTAATCACATATCTCGTAACCACATCTCATAACCAACACCTTTTCCCTCAACCACACCATTTGGCTCATAACCAACATCATATCTCTCATAAGCACTAATTATATATCTCATAACCAACAATATTTGACTCATAACCACATTTTATAACCAACACTATTTGATTCATAACCCATAACCACTAATCACATATCTCATAACTAATATTTTTTGGCTCATAACCACACCACTTTAAACATAACAAACATCACATATCTCATAACCACTATTTTGTAATCTGATTGTCAAAGTTATATTTAGCTCTCTTCCACTTAACTTTGAAGTGGAAATGTATGTTTTATTACTGAGCAAAACCACGGCACAATCTTGAAGCCAAATACCTCGGCCCAATCTTGTTTGGCCGAAACTAGATCATAAATCTCCCTCTCACATCCCATTCACAATAAATAGATTATTAATCTGCAAACATACAATCTCCCAAAAACCTTACTAAAGAATGTAATGGTTAAGCCTCGTCTGGAGAGGAAAAAAATTTATAACACAACAGATATTCCATTTACTATGTATTTACTAGCTCCACATATCATTGCAAAATTAAGAGAATGAAACTAAATTATGTGAGGAAACAAGCGAGGTACATACCTGTGGGAAAGGCAAAGCATAATGCATTTGTAAACTTTATATATATATATATATTATAGATTACTATACTTTCTACAGAACATTTTTGGAATAAAAAAATCTTAATCAGTCTATCACCATTTTTTGCTTCCAATAAAAAGTCAGCCACATAATTAACAATTGCAAAATATCATCCAAATAATGTAATACGCTAGTTAGATTGATAGACATAGACACAAATACTAGTATATTTCCAATATTTCAAACGCAAAAAAAGGAAGTAACAAAAGAAAGTAACAGGATATTAATTAGGCGGCATTGATGTGCTTGGCAAGGGTAGCAATTCGTCTTTCTTCGCTCCCACAGCCTCATCCACTATCATCCCTTCTTCACTCCCACAGCCTTATCCACTGATTGCAAAAAGAAATAAAAAAATAATTTAAAAAAAATAGCCAGAAATGTTCATGCAGGGTTCAAAAAAAGGATTTGTTTTCTCAGTAGACACTCAACTCCTTCACAAATTGATAGTTTTGCAAAAAGCATTGAATATTTGAAAATGTTTTTCCCAGTATTTCTCACATATATGAATTTTGGTAGTTGAAGGAAAACCAACTTCAATCCAGTACTTGGTCCCCTCGGGCCAAAACCCACAACAGAGAAAAAAACAAACAGAAAGGTCAGACCTAAAAAATCGACATGAATGGAATCAATCAGCCATGAATGCATATGATGGTGACAACTTCAGGTCAGGGCTGGTTAAAATGTCTATTAATATTTAGGAAAAAAATTCAAAATCAGCCTCGTTTTGTTATATAGATGTGAATGGCATGGACTAACAAATTCAAACAAATGAAGATGAAACTTGAAAATTTATAACCTTCCTTTTTCCTTGTGCACATCATTTCAGCAAAATTACCAATGTCCAATTAAAGCCAAGGACTATTGCTTTTGAGACAAAAATGTATATTAGCCAATCAAAAACTATTATCTAGACCAAGGCTCAGACCAAAAGATCATGGATTGAACAAAAATCCTCTTGAACCTTGATCCTCAGTTATTTTCATCCTTCTTCAAGTCTCTGCCAATGGACTCCAAAACAGTTGTCCCCATGACAAGATCTCAAATGATCTCAAAATAACAAAAGAGCAAAATATGGTGGGGACGATCTCATACACCCCCAGCTCTGATTGCTGCACAAAATAGCAGGCTTTAGAACATAATTTTATAACAAAGGTTGCATTATAAACTAAAAGTTCACTAGGTTAAGAAATACAATAACATCATTCATTGTACAAACTCATGAAAAATAAAAAAGAATCGAACATCACTAGCTCTATATCGCCCGATATCATCTAGTGAAGCTGCATTATGCTTGTATATTACAAGATCAAGTAACAAGTGAGCCCTATGCAAATAGTGAAACTATGTGCCAAAAGTAGGGAGTACGTAAAACCATCCCACATTATAAAATTAGTCATTGTAAAACATAAGATAGTGATAAGTGGACAGTTGGGTATAAATATATGTACCTTGATTACACCTGAAGGCAAAGGTTTCCCTTGCATATATTTGATGACGAAAAGACCACAATCATAGCTTTGGGAATGAGTGTAGTTGTAACAATAGAGTCAACAAACTTAAAGATTACAACATTAATGCTTATTTGAAAATTAAGGACGACAATGTAGTGGATTATTTGTTGTCTTGGCGTGGCATGTCTTCCAACCGCTGAAATGCAAATGAACTAATGCCTTGGACATAATCTTCTCCATGGGCATATTAAAGCAGCTCATGCAGTGATTGTAGTTGTTGGTGGTAGGTAGTAAGGTATATAGATCAAGAAACAAAAAAGATGGTACAATTGGCATTGTAATGGTTATTCTATTATCAACAATCTAGCTTGATTTTCTTGATCCTCATGGCTGGCAATACATCTGCTGGAGTCGAATAGATAGGCAACACGTTTTTCCATGTTTACGTTCAAGCACAGCCAGTGGTTTTGCCCATGGTTGAAGAGCATGCAAATCTAAAAATATAACGTGAAATGTACATGCAAAAAAAAAAAAATAAGGTTCAAATGTTATTGTGCGTGGTAAATTTGGAAATTGGGTAATATAAGTATTTTATCACATTACCTCCTTACAAGCATGAAGGGGGCCAGTGTATCTGTCCATCCCAAAATAATCTTCTACTATGTCTTTCATTGTGTCATCAGAAGGATGACACAAAATCTTTTGCTGCATATTCAATTTGAACATATAAATAATTTGTGCTTATATGAGTAGTCTTTAGGTATGGCTAATACATACCGATACATGGTCGAAAAGTACCAAATCATGTGATCCTTATCTGGATACTTTTTCCTCTGTTTATTTGTCAACTTCACAACAAGAAGGTTTATAACCTGCAGTGCAAAATATATAAAATTTATGAGTAGGCAAAGTAAAGTAACTTGGATGATGGAATGGCAGCAAGTAAAACCCAAGAAGGGGAAAAGTCTTACACATGAAGATATCCATTGATATGGTTTCAACGACCACAATTCCTTGTGAGTTACAGATTGTACTTCCTCGTAGTGGAGTATCATCCTCACAAGATATTCCCCTGCACATGGATAGCTATGTGAGGTACAAGGTACAGTACTTTATAGATATCAAATTAAAGGTAGTCAAAATGTAACCCTTCTGGAAGAGCTTCATCAAATGCGTATCATAGAACACGACTGTAATCTATGACGCACGGATGCGAACACAAACACATGGACACGTAAATTTTTAAAATATGAGAGACACGACACGTTGAAGACACGTTCAATATATATAATTTTTTTTAATTTATTATATGTAAAATTAAAAAAATATATTATTTATTTTAATATCAAATATCATTCATAAATTCATTTTTTTTTACAAATAAAAATAATTAATGTTTAACAAACAAGAATATTAAAAAAAATAAAAAAAAAGTAAAAGAGGGGAAAAAAAGAAAATAGGTAAAAAAAAAAAGAAGAAAAAAACAATAAAGAAGACAAGAGAGAGACGACAGTCTTTATTTGGGTGGGATATGAGAGAGACAGACAGTCAAACACAAAGAAGAGGAAAGAAAGAGTCTAACAAAGAAGCAAGAGAAGGAGAATCGAAGAGAAAGAGGGAGAGTCTAACAAAGAAGCAAGAGAAGGAGAATCAAAAAGAGAAAGAGGGAGAGACAAGCACAACAAGAGAGAGAGAGAGAGAGACGAAAGAAACGAAGATTCAAAGAAGATGAACAGGTTCGAGGAAGATGAACAAAGAGCACTGAACAGAGGGAGAGAGGAAGTTGAACACACATCGATCTAGGGCTTCAACAGGTTCTTCACCCTTTTTTTTTTCTCTTGGTCTATGTCTTCAATAGTTAGGCTTTCTCTCGCTATCTCCAATGGGGTAGGGTTTCTGTCTCCAACGTATCCATAACGTATCTGAGAGTGTCCAAAGAGTGTTTGGCTGCAAAAAGAAAAAAAAAGAAGAAAAAAAAAGGGGACACGTTCGGTAGTGTCTGACACGTGTCAACCGCGTGTCCGATGCGTATCCGTGTTTGACACGTGTTCGACACCCATACATTGCCTCATCCAAAGAGGTGTTCGTGCTTCATAGACTGTCATAGTCATTTAATGGGTCTAGCAAAGGCACGGATGACTTGTAAAGGTATTGAGAAGAACAACGCATAAAACAAATCAAGCTTGGTTAGCATATGTTTATGAAAACGGAGTTAGTGCAAAATAACCACATACACAAAAGATATTATAATAGTTAGTTTCAAACTTTTGGGGTTCCAGGACCAACATTACCCCCAAGTTGCTCAAGTAAATTATCAAATAGCTGGGTACAAGTAGCAAGAAAAGTAAGAAACAAACACTATTTGTTACACACAAATCAAATATGTTTTTGAGACACAGTCACTTAGTTTACTTGATTGAGATTGCCATCTATGTTATTGTCAACGTTGTTGTTTGGCGATGGCTTCAGCTAGATCCAATTTCACAAAAGGTGTACGCAACCACTGACTGGCTTTGCAATTTTCGGTCCCTTGAGTCTGAGGACCACGAACAACATTACATGATGATGACATTGTTACAACATTGACTTCAATTGGTTTTGTAGGGCCCTTTTTCGTGCATGATCGCCCCTTTTGTGGAATAGAAAGTTGTTCATTATTTAGAGATTCCCCATCCACCAATTTTGCTTGTTTCTTTGCAACTTCCTTTGCCTTTGGCGCCATCAATTTAGATGATTTATTTCCAAGTAGTATGAGGACTAAATTTGGTTTTCTCAAACGCGGAGTCTCCATTGCTTCTTTCTCATTCATCTTCCCTATCCGATCCTCATCTTCAAACTTCGTGGAATTGGCCAGAAACTTTTCGATACCACTAACATTAAGATCAACTATTTCAATGTCAACTCGCTGCTTCTCAGGTAGTTTGCTTGGTGGTGTTTTAACATGTCCTCCATCAAATGGCATGCGTTGTTCTAACAACTCAAGAATTTTACCAACTTGGTTCTCCACTTTGGTCAGTCGTTCCTCATCATGCCTCTTGTCCTTATGGCCTTGTAGCAAAAGTGCATGAATTTTGTTGACTTGCTTCTCTACTTTGGCCAATCGGGAGTCATCATCATTGTCAATTCTTCCCTTACTTAGAGTTGGTGCATGCGACTTTTCGTTATGCAATGGCAAAACAACCCATTCACACATAAAAAATAACTAGTTAACGTCAAAAGTGCGATGTAAATTGAGTTACAATTATAAAAAGTCATCCAAGGAAATAGAGGAGGTATTAAGATTTGATCCTAACATTAAATTTTTATAAGTCCCCGACTGATTATTTCTATCAGTAGAATAAGACTCAATGCAAGTGCATTTGCCCCTCTAGGACAACATAGAGGGGAAATGGTTTAAATTTTGTAAAAACATATAGACAGTCTAATATTAATATATTAATTTGAACCAATTTGTAAAATAAGCACAAAATTTTTTTTTTAAAAAAAAAAAACAATTTAATTTGCTGGATTTCATATAGCTAGTGGATTGGATGTAAAATGTGATAGGAACTTTGTTGCTTCTTTTCAATTTGATGTGTTTCCACGACTTTTAGGTTAGTACTGTCTGTCTAACAGTGTTTGTGAAAAGGTATTACGTACAAGCTTTTTTTTTTATTTTTTTTTTTATTTTTATTTTTTTACTTTTGCCTTCCCATTTCTTTTCCTCTACAAATCCCTCCATGAATCCAAGATCCAAACACAGCCTCAATCTAGAAGCCATGATCACTCCATTGCTGAAATCCTTCCATAAAATATCAAACATTGCTCTCATTAAATTGGTTATTTCTTTACATTGATAACTTTTGTATTATTAGTATCATTTTTATATGCTAATTAGTTGTTTGATGAAATGCCTAATCATAATTTCCACCCAAACATGTTACAATCTGTATTATATTTTTTGATATGGCTTATTTTGAAAGAATGATTTGGTGTTATAAATGATATGCTAATTAGTTGTTACTTGTATGTCTGCATATCCTGTACAAGTGTACATGTCCTTGTAAAGACTAACCAATCCATGCCCATTCCCTGCCATTAGCACACCATATATGTTGGAGGGAGAGTATTAGACCAACATTAAACTAACTTTTCAAAGTAAAACTGCTTAAACGTGTGATTTTGAATTTGAAGCTAAAAAGGTTGTAAATAAATTTTAACCAAAATGCGAGAATGAAGAGAAAGAAAGAACAATTATTATTTGGCAAGTGGCTTTTTTAGCCAAAAAGCCAAAAAGTCACTAAAAAAATCAAAAAGCCAACAACTTATATCAAAAAGTCAAAGATTCTCTTTTCTCTCTACTTTTTGCACATCTTTTATAAAAAGACCAAAAAGTCATCCCAAACATACTAATTTTTCTCATATCATATTTTAGCCAAAAGCCAAAAAATTATTAAAAAAGCCTGTTCCCAAATGAGTAGTAAGTATGCTCTTTGTTGGCAAGAGAAATGAGTTCTTGAAATTGAAGCTTTTTCTTGGTTGGCTTTTCTTTCATGTTGTTTGAATACCCAAAAGGAGCCAAATTATGTGCACACTAAACATGTTACAATCCGTTTTATGTTTTTAGATGGGCTCATTTTGAAAGAATAATTTTGTGTTATCGATGACATTGGTTTTGTTTGTTATAAATCCTACACACACACACATATCCTAAGATTAAGTTGGAATAATCCCTTCCCTTGTCTTAGTTTTACGTGAACCAAACAAATTTGGATCAAATTGAAGTACACCGAACCATATGAGTATGTTGGACCAAGAAGATGTATAGAGAAATCTATAATTTGTACACTGGCACAAATTGAATCCAAAAAGAGCAACACAAAACACAAGATGTACTTAATAAAATTATCCAAAACCAATTTTTTTTTTTTTTTGAAAAGGGTTGACAAATTCATGTTGGCCTGAAACATAATAATAATCTCCACCTAGTACGTTTGTGTCTTCCCATGTCTTCATTTTTTTCATGTCCCCTATTGTCATGTCAATGTTCGACTTGTGTGTGTCATTCCTTGTACATATATCACTCAATATGGGATGTTTTATTTAAATTGGTTGTTTCATATGTGCATGTTATTGGTGGTCATGGTGTGTGCATATCCAAAAGGAGCCAAATTAGTGGACGTGCACTCTACACAAATTACACTTGCACCCCATCAAATTGCCTTGCCTATTCAATTTCAGAATCTCATTTTTTTTAATTATACATAAGCACAACAAGAATTTGATCACCTCAGGCTAGTGCGATTGCTATGAAAAGAGATTTTTCTCTCAAATAATTGGCTTGATCCGAAGTAAGACCCTCTACAATGATCCGACAATCTTCAAACCGAAACTCAATGATCATCACCCAATCATATGGGTTGGCCTAATCTCACAATCTTCAAGATGTCCAAATTATGTTTCTTACTAAGTATGCAACATTACTACCACAGTAGAGTAGCTATTTGATTGAACAATTAAAATTGAACTACACACTAAATTACATAATAAAAAAGACAATAAATAAAATACACATTACCAAATAAATCAAAGAACTTTAAAATTTTCCCAAAAGAACAATGTTTCATACAAGCTAAATATGCATCATCAAGAGATAGAGTAGCTATATACCGAACAATTAAATGGAAACTAAACAGTAAACTACACATTTAAAAAAAATGTATCGAATTGAATAATAAATAACATATTCAGCAAGGGAAGTAAAGAATACCTTACTTTCATTTTTCCGACTTCACTCATGCCATAAGCAATACTTCCAAATAAACCTATTTTATTACCAATGAAAGAAATACAAAAATATTTACTTTGGATTAGGGAGAAAAAAATATGAAGGATTTACTCTGGTATCTGGTCTAGATCCAGAGATTAATTAATATATACTAATTAAAATAATGTTTATAAGTAATAAACAAAACGATAATGGAAATATTGAACCTGAGGATCTAGATCAAGATGAAGTGAAGGAAAAACAAAAAAGTATTACAGATCAAAGCAGTGAAAATCAGGTAAGAACATTACCTGAAGATCGAGGCGGCATTTCTCGCCGGAGTAGAGAGAAAACAAACCCTAACTCTTCGAAATTATAAAGTGAATTGTAGTGAATCAATGGTCTGGGTATGTATGTGTTATATAGACAGCAAGATTAATGCTATTTTAAAAAAAAAAAAAAATCATACATCATTTTTATATATATAGCAACATAAAATTTTCATTTCAAAATAAAATTTTATTATACGAATTTATGTACCATAATAATATTAATATATTATTTAAAAATATATATAGAGTTTTTCATTCATTGATGGCCTTGTTTGGGAGTAACATTTAGAGTATTGTTAGAAATTCATATTTGGGACTCACAAATACAGTTATAAGTAGCCTATTACCCGTGTTATATACGGGATAATTATAGGTATTTATATTTATTTTTGATTTTTTTAATATATAAATTATATTTTTTAAGATTTTTTTATAAAAATAATTTAATAATTTTATCACTAACCATAGTGTATGGAGAAATTGAAAAGTGTACTACAGTAACTATGCACAAATTGTATCTATGATTGTTTGTATGAGGGGATTTTAAATACTGATTAGAAGATTTTGACTAAATCAATAAATGCAGGTATGCGGAAAGACATGTGGATTGAAAAAAGTTAATAAGTATTGATCAGGAAATTTTGACTAAATCAATAAATGTTAAGTTTTTTTTTAAATAAAAAATTTAAAAAATTAAGATTGGAATATTGGAACTCCCATAGGGCTTGGGGGTTAGAAACCCTTTTTTCTTTTAATATATACTAGCCTATCACCCGTGTTATGCACGGAATAATTATAGATATTTATATTTATTTTAGATTTTTTTAATATATAAATTATGTTTTTTAAGATTTTTTATAAAAATAATTTAACAATCCC